TCTGTGATTCTGTGATTCTGTGAAGTATATTATTTTAAGACTATCTGCCTCTGTTTTCAAACTCCTGCTTTAGGATCAGCAGTAACTGGGGCCTCTGTTTTTTTTTCAGAACATCAATTTAAATGTAAAACCACATGTTGCAGTTAGATTGTTTTTTTGCATTTACTGTTTTCTTAAATAACGTGGTATAATCACAGCTATTAAATAGGCAAGAAATTATAATGTAGTTTTATTTTACTCAGTCAGACAGAAAGAAAAAGCAACTCATCTAACAACTGTGCTGTTTATCATTTCTAAGAAAAAAAAATACAGTGTAAAAGCTAAAGTGAAAGTTAAAAATGTATATAACTGCAAGAGGTAATTCCAGCTCTGAAAGCAGTTGCCTGCAGCAACTTACTCATTTCTTCTGTTTCATATGAAAAATAAATCAATAAAGTGGAGCATGAGCTGAGTTTGGGATTTGCTTGCTTAAGATTGGTACACAATGAGATGTACCAGTAAAGCTAACAGATTAAAAAACTAAGCAAAGATATGTTCTAATGCTCATGGCTCTCTTGATAACTGAATTAGACAGCCATGGTTTTCTCTGATTGTATTTACAAGACTATCAATCAAGAACCCAATTTACTTTCAGCTAAATGTCATTACAATTGCTTTCTTTTTTTTAACATTTAAATGAGCAACTCACGCTGGTGAATAGTTGCAAATAAAATTTGCTGCATTTCGTATTCCTGCAACTTCCTTACACAGGGTAACAGCACACCCTACTTTATAGGAATCGTCCCAAACAACCTAAAAAAAAAAAAAGTGGGGGTTTAAAATAAATTAAAAACTACACTCAACAGTAACCTAGTCTACTATCTAGAAAGTTTCCATTATTTTCACTCATCGTACATACTACTTTCATTCTGCAGCATCTGATCTTTTTGCACATTTAAAAAAATTGCTGGTAAGTGAGCTTTTTCAGATTAACTTCTAAATCTTCACCCCTCAAGATGAAGTGACCTATGCTACAAGTTTCCAGAATCTTCTACAGAACAATTTCAGTAAGAGTCACTGACTTTATGATCCAGGGGTAGATTCAAAGGAACAAAAGGGAAAGTAATGGCAACTACTCAACAGCTCCTTTAATTTCAACATTCATAACTCAGGTCTACAAGATGGGCTTCTCCTGTGTGCTGGAAGTGGTTTGGCCGATTACTACTGTAGACTTAAGTCTGAAAGCTTTAGTACTGCACATTTTCAGACTAATGAGTGTTATCTGCCATACTTAAGAGAATATGGTTTACTATCACTTGCAGTTTGGGCATCTGCTTTTTCTTGGGAGATTCTTCCTACACCTTCTGCATATGACTAACCAAATTGTACTGAATTCAGGTAAAAATGTTTAACAATATATCTAGAATATCTGGATGATCATACGTTCTACAAATGGAAACTTAGACACAGTGGATTACTCTCAGTATCTCTCCAGTATAAAGAGTACAGGCTTCAGACTGACAAATTGATCTGAACATCCCCAAAAGTTCCATCTCTTCTATTATAACTCCAAGAAGCAGTTATGTTCAGCAGACGTAACTTTTCTTAGAAAAGGATCTTGATGTTTCATGTTTTAATGTGTGAATCCTTGATTGAGGACTAATTCAGGGGCTTTTATCTAACAGTTTCACATGCTTTTTGGAGACTTACACCATTTTGAGATTTCTGTATAGTAGCTAGCCTAGCAGGTCTACGCAGCCTATCTGTTTATGATTTGTAAATTTTACCCATTTTCAATTTTTTGTCTGAGCCTTCAAGACCATGATGGCTCCTGGATCACGCAGGGACTCTGCTTATCAATTTTGATGACATATGTACTTGCTGGTACATGTTCGCTGGTGTTTAACCCATGTACTCTGCTTGGTGGTTAGTTTTGTTTGTAATCCTGCCTGAAATACTGCCTGAAATGCATCAATATTTTGATACGACTTAATTATGGAACAAGAAAGAAACAAGAAATCTTAATCAGGGGAAAAAAAGCTTAGAAGTGAACATCACTCCAAAAGAAACGTGCAAAAACCTCCAGAATTCTATGTAGAGAAGATTGAACAGCAAATTTTAAAATGCTAGGAAGTACCTTGCTGTGTAACTTTTTATAATTTATTGTGCTAGAGAAAAAAGGAAAAATACTTTTCTGACGTATCTTCTAGTTCTAATCTTCTAAAGATTAGCGCCCAATAAACAGCAAAACCTAAATCCTCCAGCCTTGCTTTTGAGTTTGTTACAGGCAGAACCAGGGGCAGGGAACAAGAACTAGCACTTGAGAAATAAGTGAGAAAAGACATCAAAAGAGGCACAAGAAGTCCCAAACAGAAAATGCTTCATAAATTATTCTGGTAACTTGGAAGTATTCTCATTTTACAATCCAAAGCCCAATCAAAAAGAATCTTGCAGCTACAGTTGTATCCGGCAATCGTTTCACTGTCAGTATACTAGACAGTGTTTTCATCTGTAATTTGGACAGAGAGCAGCCTAGGCATCTTTGAATACTGAGATAAGAAATTAAAGTCACTTTTACTAGATAAGATCTGACTTGACATTAAAATTATCTTTTGTTTTAGATCAGTGAAGTATTATGTGTTTCATCATAGATGAAACAAATTCTACTGCAAAGCTTACTTTTTAAACAAGGAGATTAATAAATCCATTTAAAGTACCAAGTGTTCAAAGAAAAGCTTTACTTTCTCAGCAGAATTAAGTTTCTCAGAATTACCACTGAGAAAGCAAAAATATATCATAAACTGCCTCTTTTGTTGTTGATGCTCTTTTTATCCCCTTCCTTTTTTACAAGATTCGTAAAGAATATAATTTACTTTGTCTGGATTTTCTTCTGTTAAAATTTATACTAAGGAGGTTCCACAGACATTCTGCAATTACTGTGATTATTTTGAATAGCATCTCCAAAGTTACAGAATTCAGAACTGTGTGGCTTCACAGCTGAACTTGAAATGATTTTTTTTTACAAAGTTCACGTAGCACTGATACAATGAAATGAGGAGTGAGGCTTTCAGTGAGGTCAATATTGTGGACAAAAAGAACGGGTTATTATAGAAGACAAAGAGGTGAACCAGTTCAGGAGTAACCAGCAGTACAGCCATTGGTTGAGATTACAAAAGACAGTAAGCTGTCAGTCACTACAAACCATATACAAACCATATATACAACTCTGGATTATTTACAGCCCATACTGATCTGGGAGGCACTATACAGGACATTTTACAGAAGATAACTCTTACCTGAGTGTAATGACCGCAAACTGCGGTACATTTCTCCTCTGCAAAAGTATAGGATTTGACCTCATCATACCATGATTTAATGACACCAGCAACAGAGAAGGCTTGATGACTTCCAACCCAAATATTCTCTCCAATAGATGTGAAATTAGGGTGGCACTGATGTTTCTCATTTAAGTATATGTTATGTTCAAAAATACATTTATTTGCCCATGCCCTTGCAGTTCTTGCCAAAGCTGCATCCCAAGTCTGCAAAACATGAAAGGTGAAACAGTTGTGCAATGTTAAGTTATAACTGGATCTTAAACAATCAGATAAAACGAGTCAGGCAACAAAGTACAGACAGATATCATATACTGCAGTTTCATAAAGAAATACCTTCCCTTATTTAGGCACATACCCATGTTTTATTTTGATTTACTTTTCCTGTTGCAGCACAGAAATATTAACTGATTTCATTAGACAAGTTTTTTCCCCCTTCACTGTTTAAAATTTAACTTTGTAAAAGCACTGGCTACTTCTATCTTCAGAGAAGAAATTACTATCAGACTACTTAAACATTAAACTTTTGGTGTTTTTTTTTTTTTTTTTTTTTGGTTGAACAGGTCATTAAGGATTTCCATTAGGTACATAAAAATTAATGGTATGTAAAAATACACAGCTACTGTGGATTCAAATGTATAAATATTTTCAAGTATTTTTAAGAGAGCCTCTGGAAACAAATCCTACTCCTCCTTCAGTAAAGTTTTAAATACACATCAGAGCAGTTTACAAAGACAGCTTCATGAGGTAAACATGACAATATTTGGCTGGTAACTCCTTCTGCTACCTCTTACTTCTTTGCAGTCTGTCACCGCTAACACAACTTCAGATCCTTGAACATGAACAATCTTTGGCATCTGTCTTCCAGTCACTACTGTTTTTTAGCAAGTTTTTTTCTGTCATTGAAGTATCTAGCTTTATGCCTTCTGTAAAAAATCCTGTGTTTTATTGACTAGGTTTTTTGGAGTTTGTACATTTCAGTTCACGCTTAGTCTCTATGCAGATCTTAAAATAACTCCACTGGCTGCTGATATTGTTTTCTCTCTAAGGCCTTTATTTTTTTCTAATCATATTTCTACATTTTATTCATAATTTTTTCCTGGTTTTCCTATTCCTGAGTAATAAAACTGGGTGCAACGTCTTTCACAAGCTTCTTCACTTGCAAGGTTATATGCTCTTATCTGCCATTCTGGCTTCAAATCCACCCAAGCGAATAGCATTCTTTGCCACCAGTATCTGAGTACATGCATGCTCCCAAGCCTTCCTTAGGGTACTCCTCCTTTACCTGCTCATTGCGCACATTTTCTTCTTGTGGTACGAAGTGGACTAAACATCAAACATCCACTTTTACAGCATGTTCTTCAGTTTTGTTTAACCTTTTCCAGCAAAAATTTTCAAGTGCAATTTGTTTTGGTTACAACAAGAAAAGATTCCTCCTTGCCACCAGAAATCCTCTTCAGCTCTGGTATTCCAGTTCATATCCTTGCTTTTGATGGACAGCCTAAGTCTTCCGGATCAGTCTTGCTGCTAGACCATTGTTTCTTCCTACAGAGACACTCCTTAGGGTGAAATGTGAACATCTTCAGCTGGCCTGAGGCACTGCATCCTCATCCTGCATGCCTGTTGTTTCTAGACTTCTTGCAACTTAAGTTAGAGTTAACGTAACAAATATGTACTCTATGCATAAATTAGGATGACTGTCCTTGGGACTGTTGAGAAAAAACTTTTTAATCATGTAAGGTTTGTTAGATTTACCCTTGAAAATGGGAACATCCTGCTACTTAATCAGTATGTTTGGAGTAGTCAGCCAAGTTAGTGATTAGCACCATCCAAAAGTGACCTATCCTCATTTTAATATAATTATAATACTAAAACCAACACCTCCAAGTGTCTGGACAACCTCCCCTGAATTAAGACCCTCACTCACTGAGCATGTGCAGTAAATTTAACACTGTGTTTTTAAATCAAAGCAAGAAAAGAACTAACCAACTGCAGTTAAGAAGAGATAAAAACTAACCACTTATAATCAGAAGGATGTGGCAAAGCAGATGGCACTAACATTTTGAACTGTATAAATAGACAATGTGACTGCCATTGGGTGTGCTAGCGTTGTGGACTGACCACCTGGCACCCACCTCTGTGCAGCCATGCAATGAACAATATCTCACCTCTTTGCGTGTATTGGCTTTTTGCACACCAGGCGATGAGCTCTGCTTGTGAGACACCAGACTCACCTGTCGACAACCGACTCATTAGAATATTTCCTATCAAATAAATGTGACGATATTTGAACACAAAGCAGTGATGCCATCACACTCCTCTCACCCAGGGCCGACCCCACCCCCTGTCCCATCCCTGCCGGCAGGGCTCTGGAGCCCCCCACGCACCCACAGGCCTGTCCCTACCATGTAGCGCATGTTGCTGGCGGGCGGCCCGACTCCAGCGCGGAGGTTGTTGTGGTGGTGGACACAGTCCTGCTTGAAGGTCTTGTCCGTGATGCTCGGTAAGGCGGGTGACAGCCTGGCTGCTGCCCTCAGCACCGGCCA